GGGATGTTCCTACATGGATGAAAGCATTAGACCTATATCCCAGGGTCCTACTGATACTGAACATCTCTGATTCCACAGCATGTATCAGTCACCTCCATCTACACCAGTTAGAAAACAAGCTCTATGAATACAGGAAGTTTTCTCTGTTCTGTTGATGCTCTTGACTGGTGCTTCCAATATTGTCCAGCAGATAGCAGGCACCCACTTAGTATTTATAAAAGTATGAATGTCTCTATAAGACTTACTGCAGCTCTTTGAACAATACTTTTCTTCTCAGCACCTCAGGAAATAAAAAAGTTGGATTATATGGCATCTGAGGACCTTTCCACGCCCACCAGTCTGTGATCCCATTTCAGATTCTGAGCCATTGTTTCTACAGGGTTTTGCAGGCTATGGGGGGAAAGGCAGGGATGGGTAAGGGCAAAGCTGAGTCAAAGAGAAGTGCACAGATAGCCTCTGGGGCTGGGGACCAGAGCACACTTGGAAAATAGATGTAAATTGTGTCTCTGAGCTGCACAGGGTCCTAATTCCAGTAAGGGATATTTCCCTAGAAACTGGGGGCACAGGACACTGAGGACCCATGCCGAGCATGTTGCCTTGCCCTGTCTGAGTGAGCCTGCTCAACAAAGTGTTCACAGGTCCCCAAGGCTCTCCTGGGAGATGCAACAAAATGCCAACAGGGACTCCTTATAGCCTATTGAAGTATGTTTTTAAATATTTTATCAAAAATACATATATTTTATATTTAGCCTGGTAAAATAGATGGATGATGTCAACAAAGGAAAACATTTTGTTCAGTAAGGAGTTCTGTTGAGGCACAGCATTCCTGTGTGTCCCCAAACTCCCATGAGGTAGTGACTTCACGTCCCCCTGAGGTTCAGCAGAGCTGGCGACATCAATGGGTTGGATGACAGGGACCCAGATTTGCTATGAGATAAGCCAATGAGACATGTTGTCATATTTATTAAATTTAGAATCAAATATTTTTTTAAAAGATGCACACCAGAAAACAGTAATGATTTTATTCTGCATTTAGCTTTAGTTTATTTCAGACCAAAAAGAATGATTTCAATATTAAGAAACATGCATCTATGTGTATTTTCCATGCTCCCTATCCCACGAGTTGCTTGCATGCAAATTAAAAGAAGTAGAGTTCATCCATGGTGATCTAGGAGAAAAAAAATAACAGCCATAATTTAGTTACTTGCTAATCATGAGGCTATTGACAGGTAATACCTCATTTACTCTTTGTATTTCTACCATCAGGTAAATATTATTATTGCCATCAATTTCCAGAGGAAACTGAGGCTAAGAGAGAGTGGCCCACGGCCATATAGTTAGTAGGCAGCAAACATGGTTCTTGACCCCAAGTATATATATGCTCTGAATTCAAATGAACACAACATTGTAGTGTGTACAATAAAGGGTAGTGTCATTACCTGTCACAGTTATAAAACTGCATGGAACAGTGTTTTTAATAAACAGGATCTATGTTTCCCAGCCTAATCTCAGTATCACAAGGAAAGACTGGATACCTGAGAGAAAAGAACCCAAATTCTAGGGGTTTCAAATATTGGGATTCTGTTTCCCCCAGACACTGGAGTGGGTACCTTTGGCTTTGGAATTTTTACTCATTTCAGCCCAGGCAGGGTAGGGGTGTGGACTGCTCCCCCTCCCCAGATCCCGTCATCCCATCTGAGCATAGGAACAGTCAGTCACCTTCTTCCTGGAGCCATGCAGCTGCTCAGGCCTGAAGGTTCTCGCGGCGCCTGTTGTAGACCTTGAAGCCCATGTTAGTTGGCAACAGGTTGGTGTGGGCCACACTTCCGGTTCTGCTCAGCAAGCCTCCCAGCCAGTGGGTGATACAGGTGGCAGAGTTGCAGGATCTCTTCTGGGCAGTGACACTGATTTGCAGGATAGATAAAGAAGGGAAGACCTGTCGGTGAGAGGCTGGAACAGGTGCCTGCCCAGGGGACCTGCATGGGAAGACTACTGCTCTGCGAGGCACCAGTGTACCTTAAGGAATTCCCCTAAGCACAACTATCTAAGGAAATCAGAGGCCATGAGGGAAAATGCCGCAACCATTCCCCAGAGCCATCCCCACGGTGTCAAAAAACACAAAGGGGGCTCTGGGTGACTGGTCATGGAGACTGGTAACAGCCCCTCTTTCCTGTGTCGATAAACTAAAAATCAACTGAGATTACAAGACTAGAGAGAAATAGGGTCCCACACTGAATCCATCGCAGAATAGTCTAGAAGCCAGCTTCCACTTACAGACAGCAAACATCCTGTCTTAGGAATACAGATTCCCCAGACTCACCTGGACAGGAAGGGAGTTTATAGCATCAAGTAGCAGAGGTGCTCCTGTTTGTGCGACTTGACAGTGGTCACAAGGACCACCACTCATGCCCTGCGTCCAGCTACTTCAGAACCAAAGCTACTTCTAAGATAGGACCCTGAGTCCATGAAGCCCAGAATCTAGGCCAGAGCAATAACCACCACAGCTCAGGTCATTCAGAAACAGTTTTATTCCCCTAATGACAAGCACACCCAGAAGCAGCACTGAGAAGCTCCGCTATGAAATTCACAGGGGACACCAAGGGCCACCCTCTCTGATGCTATTCTCCTCTTGGGTGTTTCTCTGCCGGCCTGTAGGTCCTTCTCTCTATCTCATGTTCCAGACATCCACTGCCACAAAGAAAGCCACTGAGCAAGCGGAGGGGACCACATACATCAAGTTAAAGGAATGAAGCAAGAAGGGAAACTAGAAAGTAAGGGAGGGGCTTAGTAGGCATCCCAGGGCATGCCAAGGTGAGGGCCGTTGTGTCTCTCCAAGCCGATGGCCATGACCCTTTTCTTGCCAGGCGCTCCGACCCCAATTGCAGTCTGTGGGAACGTGTGAAACTTGTTGAAGTCCTGTGTGTATGTGCCCAGCACACAGGTACTCAGATTACTGCACCGCTTAGCTCTGGGGCTGTCCAGGCTGCAGGGAAAAGACATGCCAGGTGGTACCATGCACCAGGACTGCCCTGTGGCTGTCACACAGAAGGCTTGACCTGGGAGGAGTCAGTTTGAACATGGGCAGCAGGGGCAGGAAGGAGGGCATACTCCTCACTTACCTCCTCACACAGACCCGGTTAGAAGGACTCTAAATCTCTGAGCCAGAGCTGTGTGGGGATGGGCCTCTGGCCTCACACTTACCAGTCCTAACTCCCCCAGTGCTGGGAGATCTCAGTACTGACAGACCAATTTCCACAGTGAGGGATTCCACACCTCTCCTAACTGCTTCAGAAATGGATCTTTAACATGTGGTCTAATTATACTATCTCCAGCTGCCCTCTGCCTTTGGTGGAGCCTGAGAAAAGCTGGCCCCAGACCAGGGTGAACAATGAAAGCCTGCTGGCCAGCAGTCCAGCTGTGTCCTCTCCTACCTCGTGGACCACACCTTCCTGGGCATGACAGGAGGGAGGGGATGCCCTGTGCCAGCCGGGGGAGGAAACCTCACCTGGAGCCCTCGGTCTCCTGCCCCAGCTCCTGGGCCTTCATCCGGACATAGTCCTTCACCAGTGCAGCCAGCAGATGACGTGATTCATCCTCAGAGCTGGTAGCAGCATTAGAGCGACTCTCCAAGGCAGCCCTGGGAGAGAAGAGCATGCCCAGGACAAGCTCTGAATCCCCGCCTGCCCAGGCCCAGGACAAGCAGGAGGCTTCCTCGTTTCTGTGGCTCCCCTGAGGATGTGGCTGCCCCAACCCCCAGTGGACAGGCATGAGGCCAGTGTCCTTCCACAAATGCTGTTTTCTGTAAGTTAGGGTCTGATGTGACCCCAGAGAAGTGGTGTGGCCCCCATAGAAGGCTTGTGAAAGCAGATGGTTAACTTTGGGGGGAATGCTATGAACTGAGTGTTAAATACAACCAATAAATATTAAATGATAAAGTTTACAATTCATTTGTTTTTGAAAAATATTTGTTTCATAAGTAAGTTTGTATGAGGTATGTGAATTTTAACTAAGATCACATATTAGATTTAATAACAAAATTATTGGCAAAGTTAGTTGGCATATTCAGATAATTCATTTCTCAAACTGGGTTGAATCAGGTGTATAGGATTGCTAAATATGCAAATATTTGGTTAAAAGCAATGAAAATATTCTGGGAGGCTTCACGAGCTGTATAAAATTTACAATAAATATTATTGTGTGTTTTCAATCTGTAAGTCATGTGTGACTCACCCTTATGTCATAAAAAGTTTGTAACAAATGTACATTCAGGTTTACACACATACATTTGTTTCCTTGAGGGCAAGTTGTTAAATACTCAGCACACCACAATTAGAGCATGGAACTGTCTGATCCCAGGGGCTGTGGTGGGGAGCATGCTGTCTTACCTGAGTGGCGCTGCCTGGAGGAAGCCCACCTGGTACAGGACCAAGATGCTGAGAGCCAGGAAGGGAGAGAACTTCCAGAAACCCATGACGCCTCTCTGCAAGGGAAGAATGAAGTCACCCACCTGCAGCAGTTTGAAGTTCCTTGAGCCCACCCCACCTCACCTTCTCCCATATACACCTGTTGGCCAAGTCTCTGTTGAGGTCAGTCTCTGAGCGCCATGTCACAACGGCTACTCCCAGAATGCAACCCAGAGCTGTCCTCCCTGCGTGGAGCTTTTGCGCACACCTGGCGCTGTGTACTGGGGAGGGAGGGAGGAGGAAGAGAATACCTCTGCAGTTGGAATCTCTGAAAAACTAACTCTTCATCCGTTCTGCCCTCTGGCAGAGTCCTTAAGACCAAGCTCAGCAGAGTCTTAAATTGGGACCTAGGAAGCAATCTCCCAAAACCCGCAAGTGAGGCTTGTTTTTCATTGCACCTCAGTCTTTGCGCCTATTTGCCACCTACTTTCCTAGGCTCAGGTTGCGAACCGATTTCCCGTGTACCACCAGGAACGCGCCGCGATCCGTATGGGTGCGGTCTACAGAAAGCTAGCTACCTCTGGGTAATGCTGTGCGTGCGCTGCCTGGGGAGCTCCAGCGGTCCCAGATGGCCTAAGCACGTGTCCAGCGGGAGACAATGAGACTGGAGCCCGCCTCAGCGCCGGGAGAGAGTCTCAAGGAATCCCCGTACTGGGACTTCCCAGAGTTAACCTGAGTCGGAGCCTGGGATGAATCGCGGAGTAAGAGAGATTGTGTGAAGAAACCCAGACAGAAGTGAACAGAGACTCTGATTTGGGCATAGAGATTGACCAGGAGGTAAACTAATGGGGAGAGAGAGGGAAGGGAGGAAGAGAAAGAAATAAAAGAAATCACACAGCAAAACAGGCACCTCGGGGCTTACCTGGCAGCAGGTAGCAGGTGCAGTGGAGCAGAGGCAGCAGCGGCAGTGGCTCTGTTGGCGTCAGGCGATCACTCTGTGGAAGTGGCAGAGACACTTGAGATGGGCAGTGGCTCTGATGCCTCCCAGCACCAGCGGCTGCTTTTATTCCCGCCACTCTGGGTCCGGGGTGGTCCACGAGCTCTGGGTAACCAATGATGGGAAGGATCCTGTTCTCAGAGGGATTGTGTCACCCACTTGCGTCCAGAAACTGGAGCTTCCGGCAGGACCACTCCACTTGTATTCCCACTGATGTCATGAAGGAATTGCGTTGTGTGCGTGTTTGGAGAGGTGGGGGGGAGGGAAGGAGGAGAGGGTATGTGGAACAAGGAGAAACACCCCAAAAGTGAACAGAAATTTGAGGGTAATTTGACATCATGGCAAATTTCACCCATTCAGCTCCACAGGTTTGGCATGTTTGCCCCACTCCATCCCCACGTGTGTGGTCTTTGGGGAAGGGTTAGGGATTGCAGGGAAGTTTGGTTCCCCCAAGTCTGACCCTAGACCCCAGTGCCAGCGAGGTTTGGAGGGTTAATCCGCAGCAGGGTGGGTTCTGGGCACAAGCAGGTTGTCTTATTCACACATCTGGAATCTTCTTTAGAGTCACAGAGCTCATGGGAAACAAGAGGTGGAGGTGGGAATAACTTTGTCAGCTTAAACTCAATTCTAGCTGTTCAATCAAGTCAGTAGGATGATAGGCAAGTCACTTTTCAGTTCCTCAGTGTACTCATCTTGAAATGGGGACCATCTTCCCCTCTCTTGAAGAAATGTTGTGATTAGCAGCTATGTGCCTGGCCCCAGGCTAGATAAAGACGTAGAAGAACTTCCTGGCCCAGGTAGAGGATTCCAAAAAATCCGGATCCATGCTTCCCAAATCTCCAGAACTTGTGGGTGTGTGTGTGCGCGCGTGTGGGACGTCCCTCAAGCTAAGGTGGAACTGATACCCCGCTGGGCTGGAGGGGAAGGTATAAGGCACAGATGCTTTTAAGCCTCCTTGCAGATCTCTAGCTCTCCCCATTCACACTGCGCCATCCATCACCTCTGGCTCATCCGCCTGCCGGAGGCATTTGCCCAGCTGTCCCTTGCTTCCGGCTGCTGTTTGCCAAGATGTCCCGCTGGCGTGCAGTTCCAGCCCTGTGCCCGCATCCCTCTCACTTGGGTTGCCCCTAGAGAGCCAAGTGCAGCACAGGCTTGAAGTTATAGAACAGTCCCTGTAGAGACTAACGCTCACCCTCTTCCAGTCACACGTTCACACACACAGACTCATTACAGTCCCCCAATGTGTGCCTGCTTCCGGAAGCCCGGCACTCACACAGCCGCCCTGGCCTCGCGGCGGTCTGGCGGGTTCACCTGCATCGCGCCCCACACCTGCCTGCAGTCTCTCGGGAGATGGCCGCGCACACCGTGGCGACGACCTGCTCCCATTGTACCTGCGCTCAGCCTAAAGTCTAAGCGTGCTCCAGAACACCACATTCTCCAGTGCCTGGACTCTCCAACACTCTTGTGCAAGCGGTCTCAGACCCCACCGCCTGAGCTCTCTGCTCCAAACCCGCCTAGAAGGTCCGAGGTCCGTCCGGACTTGCTGTCTTCAGCGAGTGGACAGCGGGGAAACCTTCTCACTGTCTCACTGTCTCCTGGATCTCCGGGTCTGAGGACACAGCACGCAACCCGCACCCTCCTGGGCAGATGCTCCCAGCGCGGCAAGCACAGCAGTGGCGTCAGGGCACCCGGGGGTCGGCACGGTAGGGGTAGGGGTAGGGGCTCTCCCGGGCACAGCAGAGCACTCTGGTGCTCTCTAGTGGGGCACCTACGTGCGTGAGTGCCTTGCTTCAGGGAGTAGGCACACGTTTGGAGGCAGCATTGACTTTGTGCATGGGAAGTGTGACAGCAAGTGAGAGTTGAAGTGTCCCCAGGGACTCTCCAGTACCTACAAGCCTGCGCTGTAGACTGCCCGCTAGTGGAGCGCCAACGCCTGCCGTGACTGCCCCCGGCCACGGTCCGCACCCGGTCCTCCGTCCCCACAAGCCTGAGCAGTTCCTAGCTCACACCTGCCTCGCTCCGTCTCTCTCCTCCCAGCTTGGTGGCGTCCGTGCTCGCGGACACCTACCTTTCAAGGGCATCCTCCTACCTAACGCTGGGCGGCACTGCCGCGAGCGAATGATAGCCAGCTGGGGACCGGGGACCTGGGTGTCTGCAACTTGCTCTCCGCAGGGCAGAACTCGCTCTCTCGCAGGGTGGCTGGGAACCCGGGAAGGGAAGAAATGGTCGGTAGGACGCGGGCGCTTAGGCACAGAGCCCTGAAAGGCGAGCGCGGCAAAGGACGGGACGTGAGATGTCAGATCCCGGGCTCCGTGTGCGCTGGAGCCTAGAAGCAGACGGCCGCTGCTGCAACCCAGTCCTGGGCTTTGGGCTCAGCAGTTTCGGTCGGGCCTTTGGCCCAGGCTTGTGCGCACAGGTGCAGGAGGACTGGAGAAGGCGAACTGGTCGGTGCTGTGCGGCACGGAGGGCAGCCTCTGCCACTGGGGCTGTTGTAGCTGTGCTTTTGCTCCCAGGGGCCAGAAATTTCTTCGGAAACGGCTTCTACTCCCTAGACCCGAGGTTTCTAACATATGAACCTTCTGAAATCATTGGGAAACATACTTTCTGAAATCCTTTGTATGTATGTGTCCCTCTATTGCATTTTCTTGCAGAGGGAATCATTTCATTAACCAGTACGATTACTGCAAAAACTGCCAAGAAATTAATGCTCTGGAAACCGATTTTGTGTCCATGTCACTTTGTGGCTCAGAGCTCTCCTCCTGGCTGCCATGTGTGCCTTTAGCCTTCAAAGGCTACGTTCATTCCTTACTATGAAATATCTGGCTCGGGTGTGTGGGGCAGGAACGAGGGTCTGTACCTAGAGGGTGCTAGGGTCGCCTGCCCAATCTCAAGCTTTACTTTAAAGGTCAGTCTTTTTACATAGGGAGGGACTGGGGTTAACTGATACTCAAGCACTCTTGGATATTGCAAGAAGTGCCTGGTCCTGAGTGGGTGTCCAAGGTTTAAAAAAGAAGGTCCTTTCCTTTGTTACTTAGCACCATGTACTGGCATCTAGGAGGCACCCAGCCAATTAATTCATTCTGGGAAATACACCAGCAAATTTCACTATTACAAGGCTCTAATCCCTAAAAATCTCAGAAAATCTGAACCTAGTTAGGCAGCGACGTATTCTGTTTGGATTCCAATATTGTGAGCACACACATTTCAGCCAGACTCTTCCTATTTTGTGCCACACAGAGTAGGCTTCCTGTTAGGAGTTTCCAGGAACCAAACAGGTAATAAGATTACCCTGAGGGTTCTTCTTAAAGACTAAAGTCTCATACTGTGAAATACAAACTCTGAGCCACCGAATGATCTCCAAGACAGTTAGACCAAGTTCCCCATTGCTCAGATTGCCCTGAGCTATCCCTGAAAGTTCTCTGAACTTCAGGACTACGCATGATTTAGTGAAAGTCACTCAGGAAAATACTGATTTTAAAATAGTCAATTGACTCTTTGGTTCTTCATTTTATGGTCTTATTTTGTAACTTTATACCTGGAAATCAGCAAGACACAATCTAGTTTGGAAAAAGTTTTACAACGCTCTGATAAGCTCTAAGTGTAGTTTTTATTTTCACTCTTTTAAATTATATTCCTGCATTTTATTTTTAAAAAGATGATTTATTAAAGGTGCAGAGACCCATAGTTGGTTGAAAATTCTCATGTGAGTTTCTATGCAGTTAAAAGGTTTATATTTAAAGGCTTACTCCTCTAATTCTATGCAATTTGTGTATGTTATTGACTCTACAATAACATACACAAATTCTTCTATTCAGTCTGGAGGAAATTAGAGCTGTGCCTTAACTGGAGAATTTCCAATGAAAATTGATTGCAATGGGTTTCACATGTAAGGATTAGAAATCATAATAACAAGTGAAAAACAGAACAGTCTAAAAAATCAACAACTGCTTTAGGTTTCATAAGAGAGGTAAGGACTTAAAGGACAAATTATTACCACTGGAGAGACAAGCAACTACAGGGATTAGTAGTGATTTAAGAGAGCAGAATCTCAAAAAGGCAAACCTCATTGCC